TTTTGTGTGTTTTACGTGGCTCAGTAAAGTTTTTAATGTTCACCTTATGTTTGATTGAAATCACACATCAGCAAATGTGGAATTCACTGTGGTCCAATTGTTCCTTAACATATCTATTGCTTTGGAACAAATTCATCAATGTTAGAGTAGAATCGACTGTGTATACATATAGATATACTTTTTTTGCTGAATTATTTGAAAGTAAGTTGCAGACATCATGGCATTTCATTTCTGAATACTTCAGTATAGCACTCTTAAGAATTAGACTGAGCTGGGCATTGATAGCTCACGCCTAAAATCCCAGCACTTTAGGAGGCTCAGGTGGCAGGATTGCCTGAGGTCAGGATTTCAAGACCAGCCTGGGCATCATAGTGAGACTCTACCTGTACAAAAAACTTTAAAAATTAGTCAAGTGTGGTGGTGCATGCCTGTAGACCAGGTTACTTGGGAGACTGAGGCAAGAGGGTCACTTGAGTCCAGGAGTTTGTGCTACGACCATACCACTGTCTTCCAGGCTGTGTATCAGTGAGATCCTGTCTCTAAAAAATAAATAAGTAAAAGAATAAGGCTATTTTTCCATATAACCACAGTATTATTGGCACTCCTAGGGCAGTTAACCTAGGTTAATTTATCAATTGGTTTTTTCCCTTTGGTAACTAATATATTTTATTTTTTACAGTAAAAAGAACAGCATGTTCCCAAATACCACATCCCTGTCACTCACACACACAGTTTCCCATTATTAGCATCTTGCATTTGTATGATATATTTGTTATAATTTATAAACTTATATTGATACATTATCATTTATTTAAGTCCATAGTTTTCATTAGGGTTCACTCTTTGTTGTACAGTTATGTGGGTTTTGAAAACTGTACAATGTTATGTATCCACCATTACAGTATTATACAGAGTAGTTTCACTGCCTTGCAAATCTCCCATGCATCCCTTCCTTCCTACTAATCTTTTTGTTGTCTATACAATTTTGCCTTTTCTAGACTGCCACATAGTTATGTCATACAGTATGTAGCTTTTTCAGACTGGCTTTTCTTATTTGGCAACATGCATTTAAGGTGCCTCCATGTCTTTTCATGGCTTGATAGCTCATTCTCTTTATTGATGAATAATATTTAATCAGATGAATGTCCCATATTTTGTTTATCCATTCACCTACTAAAGGACATCTTGGTTGCTTCCAGTTTGGGGCCATTATTAATAGAGCTGCTATAAACATCTAAGTGCAGGTTTTTGTGTAGACACAAGTTTTCAGCTCCTCTGGATAAATAAAAGCAAAGGGGCATGAATACTGGATCATGTAAGAGTATGTTTAGTTTTGTAAGAAACTGCCAGATTGTCTTTCATAGTGGCTATACCATTTTGCATTCCTGTTGTCTCACATACCTACCAGCATTTGGTATTTTTTGTTTTGTATTTTAGCCATCTAACAGGTGTATGGTGGCATTTCATTGTTGTTTTAACTTCAGTTTTCTGATGACATATGATGTTGATCTTTTCACATGCGCATTTGCCATCTGAGTATCTTCTTTGATGAGGTATCTGTTCAGATCTTTTCACTATTTTAAAAACTGTATTTATTGTTGAGTTTTATGAGTTTCTGAATATTTTGGATGACAGATGTTATCAGATACGTGTTTTACAAATATCTTCTAAGTCTATGGCTTGTCGTTTTTGTTTTTTTGGTAGTGTCTTTTGTAGATCAGAAGTTTTAATTTTAATGAAGTCCAATTACCAATTTTTCCATCATGACTTGTGCTTATATTATGCGTTGTGCTTAGTATAATATCTAAAATCTCATTGCTGAACCCAAAGTCAAGCAGACTTTCTCCTATGTTGTCTTCTAGAAGTTTTATAATTTTGGTCTGTCACTGATGTCCACTTGTCCTAACATCATTTGCTGTGAAGACTATCTTTTCTCTCTTGTGCTGCCTTTACTCTTTTGGCAAAGATTAATTTACTGTATTTGTGTGCATCTGTTTCAAGATTCTCTATCCTGTTCCATTGATCTCTTTACCTACTATTTCACCAGTACTATACCATCTTGATTGCTGTAGTTTTATAGTCTTATAAAGGTCTTGAAGTCAGATAGTGTTAGTCCTCCAATTATTGTACTTCAGTATTATTATATTGGATATTTTAAGTCTTTCACCTTTTCATGTAATCTTTTGAATTAATTTTTCAACGTCCACAGACTTGCTGGGATTTTATTTGGGATTGCATTGAGTCTATAGTATAAGTAAATGTGAAATTCCTTATGCTGAGATTGTTCTCTAAGACATCAGTTGCACTCAGACAAATTTAGCAAGTGATAAACGTAGGACTGACTATATATAGATATAGATAAATCTTTTTTCCCCTGAACCATTTGAAGTTAAGCTATAAATATAATAATACTTCATTTCTAAATATTTGAGTATAAACTTTCTAAGAATAAGGACATTTTCCTACATAACAACAATGTCATTACTACTCAAAGGATAATTAACACTAATTTGTGAGTTAGTTTTTAAATACATGCCTGTCCTTAATAAAACTGGGTTTTGGTTTTTGGAATGTCCATCACTTTCTATGCTAGTCATGATCCTATACTATGGAATGAGAAGACAAGCAAAATTCCTACCTTTTCGGAGTTTACAGAATCCTGAGGAGACAGACATCTAAACATAGTTATGCTAGGTTGGCATAAGGGCTATGGTAGCTCTACTTACTTTCCTTTCATTCAAGGAGTGTGCCAGCAGAAATATGCTTCCTATGGAATAAACAGAACTCTTCCCAGAGTGCTGCTTTAGGCCTGTGCCCTGTTCCATGATCGCCAGCCTGCCCCTGGTGGACCTTTCTTCCCAACTCAGGGGGGCTTACATCCATCTAGAAGTGAAGGTTGTAACTAATAGGATGTCATTTGTTCCCTCTGATTCTTTCAGTTTTTGGGTATCTACGATTGGCCAGGCACAGAGGAACAAAAAGGAGGGTTTGAGAACCAGAAGACGGAATGGGGACTTTATCCTCTAGGTCAGTTGAACTAAGTAGGGCATGAATTTGGACATGAATGCCAGAGACCCAAATTAACAGTGACTTAATCACGATAGGAGTTTATTTCTTTTTCATGTAACAGGAGATTGCTGGCCAAGGACTGGAATATTACTCAGATCCCCAGGGCCATCCAGGAACCTAGGCTCGTGTTGGCTTATGGCTCTATCTCCTCCATGCTATATCCCCACATCCACATTCCAGGCAGCATTCTAGGACAGAGAAGGGGGCAGCATGCCCCTTCCTTTTCAGGCACATTCTAGAAACAGCACACCTCACTTCTCTCCACATCACACTGGCCAGAATCTACTCATGCAGTTACTAAAAGGCAGTCTTCATTTGGGAGGCCATGTACCAAGCTAAAAATAGTGGCTTCTACTCCATTTAAAAGGGAAAGAGTGGGTATTAATTCGGGGCTTATACCCCTGATATATCTATATTTCTTTTTTTCTAAATGCCTTTTTATAAAATTCGTATCTTAAGATGCACCTTAAAAACAGATTTATTGGTCAAATAATTTTGGGAAACATTAACCACTATATTGATCTCATAGAGTTTTAAAATGCAGAGTGGAATATTAAAGGCTCTAATAAGTGATACAATAAAGGAATGTGTTTATCTTTGTTTGACTTAAGATAATTTGGCTAAAAAACAGATTTTACAAATTATTTTTCTTTTTTGCAGAAACTCTATTAACTTAAGCTTGGAGAACACTGCTTTGGGAATCACTGAAAATTCCTTAGTGTGCAGTGATGCACACATTTTAAAAGCAGTTCGTTCCTAAGGATGTAGTCAACAGAAATGTGCTCATATTGTGCTGGTCAAGGTTCAGTCAGAGAAACAGAACAACTAGGAGATATATAGAGGGATTTGTTGCAGGGTCTTGATCTTATGCGATTGTAGTGCCCTTGTCTTTGTGTCTGATGATGGAGCTAGGATTCTACTGGGCACACAGTTGTGGAGGAAGACAGTAAAGTTGGGAAGGATAGTAAACTGGAATTCATGAGGACAGGTGGGAACCTGGATCAGTCTGTCACTCTCTCTAGCTCTGGCAATGTGAGTGTTCTGTGGGAGAAGCTAATGCTCCTCATTATGGAGCTGAACACACACCTGCATTGGAGTCAGAGCCCCTGAAGCAGGACCCAGGAGAGGTGGTTCCAGTATCATCTGGCCTTACTGCCACTCCTTGCCCCTGCAGCGAGCTTGCAGACAAGCACATATGCAGGGGAGCTGCCTGATGCTCCTGTACCAACTTTCTGAATGCAAACACAACACAGCCTCTGCTTCCCTTCCAAATCTCAACTGGAAACATACAAAGAAGGGAATTCTGAGAAGTATAGTTCATCCTAGCCAGGTCAGCACATTACAAAGCCACCACATGAGTACTCACCAGATGGCAAGTGCAGGAGTGTTTACAGCAGTGCCAGGTGGAAATAACCTAAATGTGCACTGAGTAGGCAAATAAACTGCTTCATGCATGTAATAGAAGGAGTAGGTGAACAAACTTGCTACATGCATCAACATGGGTGAATCTTATGAAAAAATATGGAACAAAAGACAAAAGAATGTTAACTATAATTGCATTTGTAGAAATTTCAAACATGACCATGCTAATTCATGATGTTAGAAGTCAGGATAATCGTTACTTTGAGAGAGGATTAATGACTTAGAGGGGCTAAGAGGGAGGTTTTTGATGTGCAGTTAATACTCTTTCAGCTTCTTGGTCTGGGTGCTGGTTACACAAATATGTTTACTTCTGGAAAACTCATTGAGCTGTAATTTGTGCACTTTTCTATGCTTACATTTCAATTCAAGGTTTAGGTAAATTAAGACTTTAACAAGTTATTGTGCAGTCATGGACAGGCTGGGTTTGAGAAAAGAAATAAAGCCCTGTACTAAGCCCTTTTCTTTGAATGATTTTGTTTAACTTACATCTTCCTTTCCCCACAGGAAACATGGTAGAGTGGTGCTTACCTCAAGATATCGACCTCGAAGGTGTTGAGTTCAAGTCTATGGCCAGTGGTTCCCATAAAATTCAGTCTGATTTCATGTAGGTACTTGTGAAACTAAGTCATCTTTGTACCATTTCCTCCACTCTGCCCCCACCCTCTCCCCAAAGCATAAGGGCTCTCAGCAGGGGATCTTCAAGTGGTGTGTACAAATGCCCTTGAAAATATATGTATAGTTTTGTGTTTATATCAATTTTCTAGCAAGAAGAGCTCTAGCTTTCATCAGATTCTCAATAGGTTTCATGACCAAAAGACTTAAGACTCTCTACCACAGTGGCTCTCTCATTTTCTAAGAACTTATATGTACCTCACTTGAGGTTTGTTTTTAATGACAAAAATGTAGTTTCAGCTCAGTGTTGGTTAACTTAGGACATCTGTGTTCTAAAACTTGAAATTCCAGCTTTAAGTAAGAACAGTTTTTTAGTTCTGTGTAATTGGGGCATCAAGGGTTTTGTGAGGGAAAACAACTGGAAATAACTTAAGGGTAATGAAGTAGCTTTAATCTCCTCATTGGGCTGAAACTGTGACTGGTACAAGTCTGAGAAAGAGGAAGGAAATAAAATGGCAGCTCAGCCAAACATATCAAAGACTCAGGGACTGAGAGAAGAATCAGTGTGCTTTATGCTATGAAAACAGTGTGAGTGCTCCCTTCTGAGTCACTAGTTTTGGTGCAGGAAAGAAGGGATGTGTTCATGGCTGTGGGCAGTTGAGCAGCAAGTTTGCTGGAGACTGAGTCCCAGCTCCAGCTGGGTAGCCTTGGGAAAGTTCTGTAATCTCTCCAAACCGTGGTTGTCTCATCTGTAAGGTTGAGTGGCTTGGCCTAATTGTTCCCCTAAAGTTCTAAGAGTTTGTTTTAAGGCTGAGCTTTGTCATTTAGTGCCCTGGACACAGTTAATTTGTTGTTTGTGATTGCGGATCGAAGACAAAACAAATTTCTCTCTCTGATTTTGAGCCACCCTACCTATTTGGTCTCTTTTAGATATTTCCGGAAGGGGCCCTTCTTTGGCCTGGCGTGCTTTGCCAACATGCCTGTGGAAAGTGAGCTGGAACGTGGTGCACGAATGAAGTCTGTGGGCATCCTCTCTCCCTCCTACACCTTGCTCTACCGCTACATGCACTTCTTGGAGAACCAGGTTCGGTACGTGGCTTCCATACGTGTGCAGGAAGGCAGCAGGACCTGCCAGCTTATGTATTTGGTATGAGTTCTCGGAGATAGAGCGTAGGTGCCAAAACAGCAGATGTCTCTCCGAGAATGTTGGTGGCCATGTTTCGAGCCTCAGGTGGTGGTCCTTTCATTTCAGCCAATGTCCTGCTTAACAGTTCTTCATGCTATAATGAAAGCTGGGATCTGATCTTGCTTTCAGTTCTTATTTAATATTGTCATCAATTTTGTTTAATAATTTGTTGATAAGTTCATGATCTTTGCTTACCCTAAGCCACAATAACCTCCTTGCCCCAAGTAGTCAAACAAACTCTAGACTTTTTAAAACCTCATCCTTTATTATTGGGCTTATTATGATTTAGAGCAATAGGAAGATCATTTTTAACAGAAGCCACAAAACTGTTAGTTCCTTTATTTTATTTTTCATTATGCAAGTAACCCAATTACAGTTCAGATTTTGAGGAGAAAATCTATCCCTAATCCCTGAAGCACTGTTACAATTTCAGCACCTCTTTTCTGATATGTATGTGTGTGTACATTTAAAAAATATATTTAGCATCATATAGAATATACTTTTATAGCCTATACTTTTAAAATGTATCACTGTTTTAACATTTTTATGCAACATAATCTGTCTTGATCTTCATCTTGGAAAACAGCATTTGTTGTTTGCAAAAAAAGAGTTTATTTTTTTTTTAATTATATAAATATACAAAGGAATTGTAAAAATTCTCTTAAACAATAGCACTTAGAGATAGCCACTGACAATATTCAGTGAACGTCATTCTAGAATAGAAATATGTTTACAGCAATAGGACCAATATTTTGTGAAAATTTAATTTTATCAAATAGACTATTTCAATGAAATATATGTAGTATATAGTTTTAGTTGTAACTTTAAGTATTTTTTCCACAAAAATATATACTCTTTCTTGAAATATTCCTTCAATGTTAAGAAAAAAAATTATGAAAAATTTGAAGATATAGTGTCATTATTGAGAAATAACATACAAACAGTTAAGTGCACAAATCTTAGCTTTGTTGTTGGTGTTTTTAAGTTGTGTTTTAACTGTAAAGAATGTCTATTATATTTCTTCTTATTCCTTTCTCCTATTTCACATCTCAATTTTTATATATTGCAAGATTATTTTTACATTTTGTTCTGCAATTGTAATGCCCTCAGTTCTTAAGTATTGGTTATCTTTTTAAACGGATTTAACAACCATGTCCAGAACTTTATGGTGCCTTGCTCCATTTCTTGAGTTCTTGCTTTGGTTTATTTCTTGGTTGGTTGGAATTTGCCCCCAAGCACCTTTCTTTCTTTCTTTGAAAGAATCGTGAGTGCTACCTTCTCTGAGTTCTCATGTGCTTTATAATATTGATCTATTCCCTTTGTCCTTGGCTGGTTGTAAGATTTTTAGATGATTCTTCCTTCCCCTCAAGATGCTGTAGATACTACTCTGCTATTTTCTGAAATTTGGGATATGTCTCTCCATCCAGATACCTATAGATTCTTTCCTTATCTATGATGTTTCTGAACTTGCCAGATACCTATTAGTTCAGATCAGTTTTTTCTGGGATAGTTTGTCTCCTTTGCTCGACATAGGGGTCTTTTATTCTTAATTTCAGAAACTTTCTTTCTGTAATAAAATATTCAACTTTTTCATTCTGGTTTTTTTTTTTTCTTCTCCCAGAACACCCTTATGCATATATTTTCTCTCTATTGTCCTCCATATTTATCATTTTGATGATTATTTTAATAGCTCTTTTGTGTTAGCAATGTCCTATAAGTTTACTTGGTTTTTCTCTGTGGATGAACATTTAGCATGTTTCTATTTACTTTTTACTTTTTAAACTGCTCCTCTACATTTTGGAGCTGTGATTAACACCTTCACACATATATCATTTTTTGTATTTGAAGTACTTCCTCAGTTTTTTTTCCTCACAGAAGTAATATTATGAAGTTTTAAAAAAATTTATTGAAACCTGACACTTAAAAAATTTTTATTTAAAAAAATTAATTTTCCAATTAGGTAATACATTCTTATAATTCAAAAGCAAGTAATTATAAGTAAATATCATATCAGAGAGTACCCTGACTGAATGTCAGTAATAGACACCCCAAAATACTATGGCCCAATTAAGATAGACGATTCTCAAGTAACAGCCTAGAGATAGGCAGATAGTTAAGGTGGCTAGTCTGCTATGTTCCATCCAATTGTTCAGGAACCCACATTCCTCTCTTATTATTCCACCATGTACTCAGAGTGTTTTTTGTCTGTTTGTTTTGTATTCTAAGGTGTTCTTGTCCAAGTGTTTAGAGCCCCTCACCACTACCATGTTTGCATTTCAGCCACAGGGAGGAGGGAAAGACCAGAAACTGCATACCTCCCTCCTTCTACTTCATTGTCAAGTTCTCAGCCCCAGAGACATACCTAACAGCAAAGTAGACTAGAAATTTCGCCTTTAAGTGTGTGACCCTGTGGCAAGTTAAAAGTCTGGGGCTGGCCGGCTCGTTGGCTCAGCCTGTAATCCCGTGCCTTTGGGAGGCTGAGGTGAGTGGATTGCCTGAGCCCGCGGGTTTAAGACCCGCCTGGGCAGCAAGACCTCATCTCTACAATAAATCAAAAAATCAGCCGGGCGTGGTAGCGCATGCCTGTAATTCCGGCTACTCGGAAGGCTGAGGCGGAAGGATTGCTGGAACCCAGCAGGTCGAGGCTGCAGTGGCCAGGAGCGGCCACTGCACTCCAGTCTGGGTGACAGAGTGAGACTCCAACTCAAAAAAAAAAGTCTGGGGCTTCGGTTATAAGCACAAAAATGGGAAGAATGACTTTTGGGAATAAATTGGCAGCCTCTGCTTCTGTTTTGCCCTCTGGCCACCCATATTCATGTCTTCTCTTCTCTCACATGCAGAGTCGATTCCTCCTGTGCCAAGGGAGACATCACAGAATCTCACCCAGTTAATGCTGCCAGTCTCAAGTGCAGGACTTTTCTGTGATATGCAGTAATCCTTTGCATTAGACCAGGGCATGGTTCTTACCCTAAAAACCTATAGACAATCCCTCTACTCCCCACCTCCCAAATGCAATATAGAAGGTAAAGTAGGAAACACAGTTCAAGCCTCTGTTTGGAAAAGAAAAGAATGAGAAATACAAGCAGTCATTAGTCCATAACAATAATACAATTCTGAGTAGTATGCTCTTGGTTAGGCTTTGATTCTTCTGTGTAGAATTCTTTGTTCATTTTCCCCCACAGCTCCTGGTTTCTCCTTCTAAGAGGTTCTTCTTTCATTTTCCTTAGTAGCCATACCAAAGTGGAAAACATGCCTTTTGTTTTGTTTTGTTTTGTTTAAGTTGGAGTCTCACTCTGTCGCCCAGACTGGAGTCCAGCCTCTACCTGCTGGGTTCCGGCGATCCTTTCGTCTCAGCCTTCTGAGAAGCTGGAACTACAGGCGTGCGCTACCACGCCCGGCTAATTTTTGATTTATTGTGGAGATGAGGTCTCACCAAGTTGCTCAGGCGACATGCCTTTTTTGAGGCTGTACAGCTTAGAACACATTTCCTACTGTCATAGGTTTGGGAGTCTACTTGGAGGTGAGAAGAGTTTTTATAGGGCAGGCAGGTGGCAATTCATGTTCCTCATAAACAAAATAGCATTCTGGTCTGTTTGTTTCTAGTTGGTTCCAGGTAGAAGTATCCACTGCCAAAGATCTCTGGTTCATGGTTTTCTTTTTATTTATTTAATATTTTTAAAACTATTTTTGTTGTTATTGTTTTGGGGGAATCTCTCTCTGTCACCAAGGCTGGCGTGCAGTGGCGCAGTCATAGCTCCCTGTAGCCTTGAACTCCTGGGCTCAACCTTGAGCAGTCCTCCTGCCTCAGCCTCCTAGTAGCTGGGACTACACGCATGTACCACCATTCCTGGCTAATTTTTTATTTTTGTAGAGACAGGGTCTCACTATGTTGCCCGGATTGGTCTCGAACTCTTGGTCTCAAGTGATTTTCTACCTCAGTCTCCCAAGTTACTGAAATTATAGATGTGAGCTATTGCTCCAGGCCCTGAGCCATGGTTTTTAAACGTAGGCTCTAACTTAGTTACTGGTCTCTGTTCTTGGTCCATCCCTCTCTCCCTCATTTTCATAGCAGCCGCCTTAAACTGTACCTAAGTGTGATCTTTATGAATAAGCTGACTCCCATATCTGCCCAAGAACACTTAATTAGAAACTTTCAAAGATGCCTTGAGAGAGACTCTTAATTCCTGCTTTTGGGGTACAGAGGCATTGACTTTTCCAGCCCTATGAAAACCCAAATTAGCTGGGCTTGGTGGCTCAGCCTGTAATCCCGCGCCTTTGGGAAGCTGAGGTGAGTGGATTGCCTGATCCCGTGGGTTCGAGACCCTCCTGGGCAGCGAGACCTCATCTCTACAATAAATCAAAAAATCAGCAGGGCATGGTAGTACGCGCCTGTAATTCCCGCTACCCAGAAGGCTGAGGCGGAAGGATCGCCAGAGCCCAGCAGGTGAGGCTGCGGTGGCCGGGAGCGGCCACTGCACTCCAGTCTAGGCGACCGAGTGAGACTCCAACTCAAAAAAAAAAAAAGAAAAAGAAAACCCAAATTATTGGAGTCCTCATTGATTTACATTGCAGAACTTAGAAAACACTACCCTTACTAGGCTGTATTTTCTTCCATTTCTGCTTGCAAACTGGCCAATTCTTGTCTATTTTCATCTTGTAGCAGCTTGCGGTCATTACGACAACTTAGCCTATACTTTAGCTAAAGCAGAAAATGATGCCTGCTCTTTTCTATGTATCATTTTCTGTTTTAGCTAGAGTACAGGCTAAGTTACTATCACAGAAATAAGGCCCAAAATACAGCAAATCAAGCATGATATGTACAACTTTTCTGGCATGGCAGTCCCAGAGGTAGAGAAGCAGTTCAGTGTGGGTAGATGGTTCTGTTCCACTGGTCATTCTGGAC